TATTTTGTTTTATTAAGGAATGCTCTAGACAATCCTGATGTCATCATCCAACCCCAGTCTGCAATCAGGGCTGAGTCACACTGGCCTCAGCACACCTGGCTTTAGCCCCAAGTTCCTCTGTGGACGTGGCCTCCCATCCCCTCAGGACTCTGTCTGAATTGCTGCTTTGGTTTAGCCTGTGTATCCTGGTGCTTTGGGCCCCCACCAGGCTGAGAGGAGCTCAGCTTGGCCAAGGCCTCCTGCCAGCAAGTGCTTGCCTGGACTCTGTGCCCATGGGCACTGTCCCTGTACCCAGGCTCCAGGAAGTGGGGGCAGGATCTTAGGGCTTCAGCTGAAAGGGTTGGGAGCTATGCTCCCCTAAAATAGACCAACCCATTCCATGGAGTTAATCAGGATACTGCTGTGGGTCAGAAAGCACCTAAGCCCCAACAGCGACAGCTGGGCAACCACTCTGGGGGCTCCCTGGCTCCCCCATCACCCCACTCCCCAGGCCACGTGTCCCCTAAGTGCACGCGGTCCTCACACCTCTCCTTTCCTCCTTCTGGAGCCCTTCATGCCTGTCTCAAGCAGGCCATTCCCCTGCATGGCTAAACTCTTCTGTAGGTGTCCCGCCTAACTTTGCCTCAACTGCAGTGTGACACTTCCCGAGGGGCTGCTCCCCTGAGGTGCCCACTGCCCTGCCACCCTCTCAAGCACGCTGTTGTTTTCCTTCACACTCACGCACCCCAGGGCCAGGTGGGGTAGACAGCTTCCTTCTCCCTGTTGCTGCTTCTAAACAACTCCCCCTCCCTCATCCCACTTTGCTTTGGAGCTGGAGCTGTTAGGCTTTTACCCCCCATCACCATCATCCCCCTTGTTTCTGTGCTGCGTCAATCTCTTCCTAGGTCCCCATCATGAATATCTGGGCTCTCAGTTTACCTGCTTCCCCCATGCTACTGGAATCATCGTTATGGTAACATGAGCATTCATGCGGACACCCAGACTCCATCTTCTCCCAGCTCCACCACCTCCACACCTTTGACAGTTTCACCCCTGCGCCCATGGCCAATATCACATCTGGGAACTTCTCCCTACCAGGAGCCCACCACCTCTAAAATCTCAGTTCCAAGCATCTCACACTCTGACCATATTCCTGACTTTCTAGTTCACATCCTCTGATACCCACTGAACACATCTCATGTCACTGAGACAGCCAGACCCCTTGGCCCTGTTATGCTCTCACCATCTGTCATCTACCCTGTCTGTCACCTCATTCCTCTTATGGGCCGAATTGTGTCGTTCCAAAATTCCTGTGTTGAAGTCCTAACTCCCAGAAGCTCAGAATGTGATTGTATTTGGAGATGGGGTTGTCTTGATTGTCCCAAATTGTCTTTAAAGAGACAAGTTAAATGAGGCCATTTGGGTGAAGCCCAATCCCATATGACTGGTCACCTTATAAGAAGAGATTAGGATGCAGATATGCACAGAGGGAAGACCACAGGAAGACACAGGGAGAAGGTGGCATCCACAAGCCAAGGAGAGAGGCGTCAGGAGAAACCCACCTGCTAAACTGTAAGATAGCAAGTGTCTGTTGTTGAAGTCTCCCAGTCTGTGGTACTTTGTTATGGCTGCCTGAGCAGACTTGAACACACTTCCTTACTCAGCTCAGATTCCAGCATGACCATTCCCTGCCACACCTTCACCATCCCCACCAGTTTCACTCACCAACTCTGGCTTAACCTGAGGAGCTGAGCATTGGTGGGGAAGATCACATAACAATGTTAATTAGCCTCTCCTAAAATGTATCACTTTGAACCTTCATATATGAGCTCAACATAGTCCATAAATTTTATCAAGTTTTTCAAGTCTTCTTTCCCACTTTGCAAAAGGCTATTTCACACATTCGATTTTGTCTTCAGAATCCAACTCCCTGCCTCTTATCTCAAGGTAGTGATCTGAGACCAGGAGGTACCAGTTGGGAGCCTCTGCATGCCCCTACCTCTGCAGCCTCAGGCCCAAGCTTTCCATTTCACCCTGTACCAACCAAAGGCCTCTTATTTTCTGAGTTCCATCTCCTTTTGCCTTTGCAAGAATTCCACCCCTCCATTTATGTCCTATCTCTTCATCAATTTCTTTTACTAAATTCCTTCCATACATTTGTCTCTCCTCCTAAAAACAACCCCCTTGACCCTCGTCCTCTTTCAGCAACTCGCTCATTTTTCTGCTCCTTTTAGTATCAAAATGTCTGGAAAAAGTCAACCATACTCCCTGGTTCAACTCATTGACTGCCTCATCGACAATTTCTTTCTGCTGTTGGACCACTTCTGTCAGTGTGCAACCATTTGTTCTCCTGCTACTCCAGTCTGACCCTCAGTAAGCCCAGTGACAACTTCAGGGTTGCCAAACCGGGTCTTCTGTGTCCTGTTCCTCCTCGAGCTCTCCAGAGCATTCCACGTGGCTGGCCGCTCCCTCTGTCTTGAATCGCTGACTCTTCTGGCTTTCCTTTACTTCACGGGCTGCTCTTTCTCAATCCCCTTTGCATCTTTCTCTACCTGACCTCCAGGCCCCCTCTTCTTCTGTTTCTAGATTATCTCACCCAGGTCCATGACTTTAAGGATCATTTATGTGCCGATGGCTCTCAAATTTATAGCTCTGTACTGACCTCTCCCTTGGGTTCCAAACACATATATCAAGCTTGATGTCTCCACCCAGATGACTCAAGCAACTCGAGCCCAACATGTGTGGCAATGATTTCTCCATCCTGCACCCACTCCCCAACGCTGTTTCCCATCTTACTAAAAGGCACCAACATCCACTCATGGCTTGGATAAAAAGCCCAGGAATCGTTCTCGCTTCCAATGGCCTTGACCCCACTGGTCTCTCCAGCTTCACTCTCAGCCCTGGCCTAAGCTACCATACTCTTTCACTGGGAAAACGAAATCATTTTGTAAATGGTCTCTCTGTTTCTGTTCCATAGGCAGGACTGCTCTGGGGAGGGGGAATCTGTGAAGAATCGGTTTCCTGTTGCGTAGATGACACAGTTGACGCTAACTGGATTAATCAGATTACCCAAGGGGAGGTGCGTGTGTCCCCTCCTTTCTGTCGCATTTCCCTCAGAAACAGCACTTCCATTCAGAAAGCCAGATCAAGTGCCATTAACAAATCAATTCTGATCCACAGTCCAAGTGCTCAGACCTCAGGGCAATCCGGCCAGCCCTGAAGGGTGTGTCTTGGGCCTGGCCTGCTAATAAAGTGGAAACTATGCTGGAGGCAGAGGCGATTATTTTCATGCCTGTCTCTGTCCCTGGAGGGGAGAAGAGTGGGATTTGATTACACCACGGTCTCCTGAGGGAATTAACTCACTTCGGAATGCTAAGTTATTAATTCTCCAGCACAAGGTTAGGTCCGTGAGGGCAGTCAGCTCTCACACCCCTCTTTGGCTCCTGCAGCCCCCTATTTAGGACAGCATTCAGGAGGTGCCCAATAATTGGATGAGAGAATAATGAATTGGCAAGTGGGGGAATAAGACTGGGGCCTGGCATTTTTAATCACCCTTCACTCTTTTATTTAATAAATGTAACTGGGCCCCGACTGTGTTTCTCAGAAATTAAACCAAACAGACAAGGCCCCTGTCCTTCTGATCTATAGGCAGGGGGTGGGAGGTGAGGGGAAAGGCACATAATCAGCATCTGTCAAACAAATTCAAAACTGTCCTCAGAGAGTGAGCAACAGAGTCAGGATAAGAGAACGGGCCACAGTGACAGAGTGTGTGGGAAGGATGCCCAAGGAGGGCCTGAGGCTGAACACCTGGGCTGAGCTCTGCATGGGGCAAGGAGCCAGCTGGATCTGGGGGAAGACCCTTCTAGAGAGAGACCAGAAAATGCAAGTCGCTGTTGTCAGACAGCTAGGCCCAGTACATCCGGCTCAGGCCACCTTCACTGGGCAGCTGCTCTCCTCCTCACCCTGGGGGTAAGGTGGGTGTGTCCCTGCTGGGCGGCGGGCTTTGCCCAGGGTGGGTCTGCCTGCCTGGGTACCATCCTTCCCTCCAGCCTTTCTCACTCATGGCATGGGGCTTTGTTCCCTTCCCACCTCTTCTAACAGAGCCTTTCACAATCCCACTCGGAAGGGCTCCCTCCCCTCTCTGAAGTCCTGGAGCACGTTTTTGACGCCTGTCTGAAGTGGGTCAGCACTGCATGCCCCTGGATGTGAGTCTCCTCCCCGTGCCCTCTCTTCCCGTTCCCATCACGGGGCTGCTCCTGGGTAGAGGCCTCATCTCCTTTGTCTCCCATACTCCCTGGGCCAAGCCCAGGGCCCTCAGTAACAGATGTGGAGAGTCTGAATAGATTACCTGGCCCAGTACAATTCTGAGGGGCAAATAAAGACTCACAGAAGTCTTGCTTCTCATTCCAGTATCTCTACCATGGGCAAGGAAGGAGGGCATTCCATCAGCTTCTGGAATAGGACCAGCTTTGGATTTGAAAAGTAGTTTCCAGAAGGGTGATGAGAAATTTTCAAGAATATTCCTGGCTTTCTTATGGGAATGCTTGGACACTTTCATAAGAACAGTGCCACAAGATAAGGGGCAGCTTGAAGAAAAAGAGTCCCAGGATGGAGAGATCAGGTGAAAGACACTTTCCCGGAGGCAGGCTCCATCCCACGCCCCCATCTGAGGGCTCCCCCAGCCACTCTGTGAGCGCCGCCCACCAGGAAAATACACCTGCTGACTTGCAGCCAACCTTCCCCCTGCTAACTCCCCCGCCCCGCCCAATATTCCCAGACATCCCTAGTTCCAGCACCAGTTAGTCCCACCAAGAAAGCCAGATACTGTCAGATGGAACACGAAGGCATAAAAGGTGCCTTCAGTGGCAAGGCACCGTGGCTGGCCGCAGGACATGCTGTGGGCCCTGAGCTCCCGCACTATGGTTAATGGGGATGAGGCCCCGGCCCAACCCTGGAGGGGGGAAGGTCGATGGGCACGAGCATGAGATGGGCATGGAGATGTGCTGGGCACTGCGGCTGACCTTTCACGAGGACTGTCCTGGCCTCGGCCCACTCGCTCCTCCCGTCAGACGTCAGCAGGCCAATTGGAGGCAAGCGCTCGTCCTCGTTGGAAGCCATTTTGACTATCTTTCTCAACTGAGTGAACAGATCCCCCTCACTGAGACGGCGGAAATTAATGACAACATCCAAGACAAAGAACTGTGGGGTAAACAGGTCAAACATGTCACTTGTTGGGTGACCCGTGGCACCAGGCCTTCACTCAGCCTTCACAGGTGAGCTTGGGACAGGGATGCTCAGGCCCAAGGTTCCCAAGGTGTTTGGTGGTTCTAAGCAGTCTCAGTTTAGGGACCAAGCCAAGGCTGTTGACTGTGCTGGATTCCTCGCTGCCCCCAATCAAAAAAGGCAACATTAAACTTAGCCGAAAGAAAATGTGCTTTTATGGTTCACGGAATCCATTATGTTTATGGGGAATGGAGGATAAATTGGCACAGCTACTCTTGGTGGGCAGTGTCTATCAAAACTAAAAATGTGCATATCTATGACTAAGCAATTGCACTTATAAATACATATTTTATCCTGAGGCTTAGAGAAACATACCCGTGTGTACCAGAAGACACGAGGAATGTGCCTCTTGACCTTGTTTGCAACAGCAAAATGGTAGCAAGAGCCTCACTGTTCTCCAGAAGGGGAATGGCTAAGTGAAATGTGGTGTATATGTCTGAGGCATGTCTACCTAGCCATTGAAAAGAGTGAATTAGCAATAGATAGAGTCACAGTGATGGGCCTTAAACACGCTGGTGAGTGGAGGAAAAAAAGCAAGCCAGCAATCATATGCAGAGGAAGATTAAAATGGAACACCAACACGCACCATGTGTGCATGTGCACCTACACATGTGTGCGTGTGTGTGCGCCTTCACATGTGTACCTACATGTGCTTTGTATGTCAGCCCTGTGGTTCTATCATTTTTTAGCTTTGAAGGCTAGAGCCTCAGGCTTTGTGAAGGGTCTATTCCTAGATCCAGGTCAAGACACCCTTTTCAGCTGACTGACATGAGTACCTTGTTTTCCCTTCCCCTCCAACTCCCTAGCAGTGTCTCTATGGTCTGGTCCAGTACAGGGTCCCAGAGCATGTCTGGAAGAGGTGGATACGGTGGCCTGTGGGTACTGGGAAATATTTGGCTTGACTTTTGAATGAAGATGGGGAAACTTCCTTGGGCTATGGCCAGGGTGTCAGGTGGGCTACAAGAGCTCCTAGATGGCCTTCGAATCTAGGAAAAGAGGTCACAGCCACCCTCAGATGTCAGGGCTCCACAGAGCTCCCAACTTACTGAAAACGTGAGGTGAGCCCAAAATCACATTGTAGAGCAAGTACCACAGAGGTCCCTGGGATGGCTGCCAAACTTGGGTTTTAGCAAAGCAAAACCAAAAACAAAAACCGTTTGTCAGAGGAAATATTTATGTGAAGCTCAATATATGGAATATATAGTGCAGTGGGCCCAAGGAAGAGGTCAGGAGCCCTCATGCTCAGCCTGTCCCCCAGGACCCATGGGTCCTTGTTGGCTCTGTGGAACCCAGTCTGAGGACCCGAGCTGCAGCAGGTAGACCTTGACCTTGGGGTACTGGCCAGACCTAGGAGTCCTTCCCATTCTTGGGCAGACCACTTAACTTGTCTGAGTCTCATGTCCTCAACTGTCACACGGAAATCCTAAGGCCCCCTCTGCAGGGTCACTGTGAGGATTAAGTGGGATGAATGCATGTTAAGTGCCGAGCCCACAGGCTGGCACATGAAAGGTCCTATTTGTCAGTCTGTAACACTGTCTGCCTGTGTGTGGTCTCCAGAAAGGCCAGGGCCTGGGTGACTGCATGGAAAAGAATAGATGTGTAGGTGGAAGGTCTGGATCGTGACCCTCAGGGCATCAGGGCTGAAGTGAGAGTCCAGTGAGGATATTCTCAAACTGACGGCTCTCATTCTTAGAAGCCAACTGGTGGAGAGACATGGGACTGACTGGAAGTGGGGACTGCATTTTGGAGACATGGTGCCCCAGCTCCCTGTGTGACTCAGGGAAGAAGACTGAGCCTCCTCGGAGAAGGTAATGGATGTGAATGCATGGCCACTGCATGCTCTGTGCCTTCCCTCACCAAGACAAGGGGCTTCTTACCTGATTGCAGCAGGCTACGATGACGTGCTCAGGCTCCGGCATGATGCTGCTGTTCTGGGCCACCAGCGTGTCCTGGGTATGGCCGGGGAGCCGGTAGGAGGAGAAGAGCCCATAGTATTGCTTCATACAAAGGGGCTGCCCTGACAGCTGGCCTTTGGCGTAGTCAGTGGGAATGGAGTGGCTGAAGAAGAGGAGCAGGAAGGGAGGCAGCCACGAGGGGATGGCAGGGGTTGAGGGGAGACAGAGAATGGGTTTTATTGTAACTCGATCAGGCAAAATGGGGCGCAGAACCCAGAATTGCATCACCGTGGCAGATGCAGAGCTCAATTCTCCACTGTTTAAAGTAGTGGAGGGCCCCATTTCCGCAACCCATGGAGACCCTCAGAGTTTTCCCAAACCTCTGCCTCATGCGTGGCATGTGTAAACCCTGCCAGTTAGCCTTCTGTATCTTTGCTTATGCTGATCTTCTCTCAGCACGCATTTGCCCCAACCCCAGAACTCAACTGTTCTATTCAGAAAACTCCTTCAAGAGCCTACTCCTTTATCATCTCTTTTAGAAGCCTCTTCTGAGGTCAACGCAGGAAGTTCTTTTTCCCTGTGGTCTCAGCATGCCTTTTGCCTGTCCTTACTCTCTCCCTCCCTTTCTTCCCTCCATCCACCCATCCATCTATCCATCATACATCCATACATCCATACATCTACCATACATCCACCACTAAACATCCATCCCTCCTTCCACCTACCACCCACTCATCCATCCACCATCCACCCATCTATCCACCATCCATCCATTCTTCCATCCACCCATCCATCCACCAAGCATCCATGCATCCTTCCATCCACCATCCACCCATCCATCCACCATCCACTCATCTATCCACCATCCATCCATCTTTCCATTCACCCATCTTTCCAACCATCTATCCACCATCCATCCATCCATCCAGCCATCCTTCCACTCTTTCAGCCAACAAATATTTGTGAAGCACATCCTCTGTATAGGCCAGGCACCATTCTGGGATATGGAGATTCGGCAGCAAATAAGACTGCAGCTCCTCCTCTACGGGGGTGCAGGTCCTGGGATGTGTAGGTGGGGAGTAGACCACAAGCAGCAAACCAGTGAACAGGAGACTTTCAGGTAGTGAGACAGAGTGTTGGCAGGGGCAGGAGGTGGTGACCAGGGACAGTCTCACTGAGGCAGGTTGATTGAGCTGAGTCCTAAGGGTGAAATGTCCCACAGCACTGCAACTCAAAGTATGAGTATTGCACTGAACTGCTGTGACTGACCCATGACTTGGTGTAAGGCCTGAACCCAGAAATGTTTGCAGCAATGTGATGGGAGTTTTATGTCTGCTGAATCCTGTAATAAAATATTTGGTCTCATATTTCATGCCATTTTTCTAGTAATCAATTTTTTTGTTGTTTTACACAAATTTTACAAAATGAAAGAAAATATATTGGTTCTTCCCCAGAGGCAGCTTGAGAAGCACTGGTCAAAGGCAGAGAGAAGCCAGTAGGGCTGAGGCCCAGTGAAGACAGGGCCAGAGAGGCGGGCAGGCAAGGTCTTGTGGGGCTCCAGTGGCAGTGGGGAGGAGCTATCACCTTATTCTTGGTGCAGTGAAAGCCCTCGGGAGGCTTCAGCACGCAGGGGCACGACTGGGTTTCCATTTTGTTGTTTTACTGACCCTGCTTATATGGGGAGAATGGACTGAAAGTTGTCACAGGAAGAACAAGGAAGGAGGCTGCGGCAGAGAAGGAAAGTGATGTCTCAAGTGAGGGCAGCAGGGAGGGAGGAGGGAGCTTGGGGACACAGTGGGGAGGGAGAATGACCACATCTGAGCACCATGGGTCACATGAGGGTGCAAGGGAAAAAGCAGAACACGCACAGGTGACTTCTAGGTTCCCAGACTCACCAACAGGGCATGCGCTAGTGCACTTACGGAGATGGCTCAACAAGGTATGGGAGGAGTTGGGGAGCTGGGAGGGAGAGGCAAAGCTTTCCTGGCTCATTTGTAATGACTGAGAGACACCCCAGTGGGGATGGTTGAGGCTTGGATGAGCGAGTGTGGGACTCAGGGGAAGGGACACAGCTGTATTTTGTGTCTGTTTATGTGACTGTCTTGCCCAATAGCCTAAGGACATTTTGAAGGGAGGATGAGGCCTTATTTCTCTTCATCTTCCCAGCATAACTACATTGCAAAGTGAATAAGTGAATTAATTAATTAATTAATTAAGGGTTCAAAACAGGCACTCAGGAAAATGTTCCAGTCTTAAGTCCTTTTCAGTCATTGGACATGGGAACCTCCATGTGGATATGCATGGGTATTCGTGTTTGTGTGAGTGTGCACACAAACATGTGAAAGTCTGGGATCAGAAGGAAAGTGAAGTCTTGTGGGGTCAGTCAGTGATGAATGGGCACCAAGACCCCAGGCCCAGCAAGACAAGGCTATTTGAAAATAGGCAGGATAGTGAGGTGGAGGGGCGAGTTCTGGGAGGAAATGGAGCACTGTCCATGAAGAAGGGAGAGACCAAAGACACACCATGAGGAGACAGCAGTCCAGGGCCTAATGACCCACGGCATTTAGAGAGGAGTGAGCAGAGCACCCAAGAGCGTGTGGTGCAGAAATGCCCTGGACAGCCTGAGCTGCTCCACCCTGAGAGTCTGGGAGCCCTGCCTGCCCTTCTCCAGAGGGAGCAGCCCTACCCTGGAGGGGCTGTGGGTCTGAGCCTCTGTCCCAAGGCTAGGTAAAGACTGAGTTGAGTCAAGTTGAACAGAGAGTGAAGTTTGCCCCTTGTCCCCTCCTTGCTCTGCCACCACCCAGCTGTGTGACCATGGATGAGTTACTTAACCTCTCTGAGTTGCAGCTTCCTCATCTGTGCAAGGGATGCTTCTTTGGGCCTCTCTGTCTCCTTCCAGCTTCTAATGCCCTTATAGTCTGTACCTTGAGAGACTTGGGTCCTCCAGATCCTTCTACTCTCCCTGCTGCTCTCAGATACCCTCCTGCTCTCCTAAGCTTGGCCAGGAGAGGGACTTTCCTCCTAAAATCAAAGAGAGCCTGCGGTGCTTTAGCAGCCTTCTCCATCTGTCAGAACAGCCTCGTGTCCACTGAACTTGGGGGGATTGAGGACACAGAGGCTCTGGCTGGAGACACCATTCCTCCAAGTGGCAATCAGGACTCCCATCACCTTACTCTAACAACTGTTTCTTCCCCGCCTTCCTATGTGTTCACCAGCTTCAAATGAATTCACTCCACCTGTGCACATATATGTGGAGGGAGGGGGCACTTTTAAAAGATCAAGGAAGGATGGTGCTTGCCCCAGGAAAAGAAACAGTTAACAGTCAGGCCATCTGGGCTAAAGGTCATCCTGATGGTGGGGGAGTGGGTGAGGGCAGGGACACCTGCTCTGTGCCAGGAGCCAGAAATGGGAATACAGAGTTGGAAAAAGACAGGGTCCCTGCAAGGGAGATAGACGCATACATAGGCAGACTGTGCTGGAACAGGGCACCACCCTCCCAGTCCTACCTGTCCAGCAGGGCCTTGTAGCTGAGTACACCAGAGATGAGGCTGGCTGCAAACCTGCAGGGAGAAGGGACGCCTGAGCCCTTCCTCCCAGGGCCTGGCTTCCTCCCTCCCTCCCTTCCTCCTTCCATTCTGCCTCCCCTCCCTCCTTCCATTTCCCTTCCATCTCCTTCCTCTTCCCTCCCTTCTCTCTCCCTCCTCCCCACTGCCAAACTCTATGATTCCCCATTGTATGCCGACCTGTGTGCACTAATCAGATGTGGCTCCTGCACTAATCAGATGTGGTTCCTGCCCTCCAGCCCAGTGCCGTGAGCCCACCACAAGCCTTGGATTCAAAATGGTCCCTTGGTGAGAACTGGGGGTGGAGCAGCTCTTGGGGAGAGGAGAGGAAGCTGGAATCACCTTGAAGAGGAGAGGGAGCGGAGAGGGAGACGGAAGCCAGGAGAGGCCACAGAGCAGGTCAGAAGGGACGAAGGGTGAAGGGTGGAGTTCTTCCTTGGAAAGGCCAGCCCTGGGGCTGGACAGGGCAGGACTCCTGGTCTTGTGGAAAATGTTCTCCTGGGAAAAGCCAGTAATTTGGTCCCTTTCCCCCTACCCCCTAGTACTAAGGAAAAGGAAATTGAGTGCTTGGGGAAAGGCACTGGAGAAATGAGCAGCAGGAACTATCTTCCTGGGATGCTGGGCCTGGCTTAATTGCAACGGGACGAAAATACTCCTCAGATGCAGTTGTGAGAACTGTTTTCAGAAGTCATTCATCCGTCCACACCTTCCTTCTTCCCTGGGGAGGCCCCAGCTACAGTGGGAGGGAAGGCTGGCCAGCTGGTAGGGTGGGATGGGGAGGTCTTCCTAGCGTGGCTAAGCCCGGCCCAGAGGTGAGGTGGGCCCTGCCTCTTGCCCCTGGGCCACTTTGGCCTGCCCTCTGCCCTCCCTCTAAACTGTCCCCACCATTTGTCCCACTCAGGTCTTAAGACCAGACTCTGAGAGACTCCAGAAGGGAAACCCTTTCTCCCTGCCCCCATCCTCCATCGTCATCAGCGGCCAGAGGCCCTTCCAACGGCTCAGTGAGCTCTGAAATTACAGCAGATGGCACAGGCTCTGGCTGCTGGCAGGGAGGAATTGTTTCCAGCCTTCTGGGGCCTCAGTTTAGAACTGCAAGCTCTGGAGGGAAGCAGAGGCCCTCTCAGACAGCCTGGGGCAGTGGTTCCCAGGGACAAGTACTGGTGTGGTCCAGGGCCACACGCCTCCTCTCAGGGCCTCAGCCAGGTGGAGGCTGTGGGGATATTTGGACCCATGACCTCCATGAGTGCCCATTCCACTGCAAGATAAATACAGACTAAGGCTGATCGTGTGATTGTCACTCGAGTGCAGCCACACCTAACCTTGCTCCCCACCTGATGGCCTGGACGTCCACTGTCTCAGGGCATTTGGCCACAGGAAGCTCAGCTGAGGCTCCAGCTTCAGCCTTTCTTTGCTGGCGCTGGGGTAAGGGCCCCTGCCTTGGGTGGGTCCCCAGGTTATGAGCTAGGAGCACCAAGGCCTCACCTCAGCTGGTCGTCGGTGCCAGGGAAGTGCTGCCGAGCAAAGATCACGGCGGGGCTGGAGTTGACAGGCAGGGCCAGGCGGTTGTTGAGATACATGTCATTCAGCCAGTACTCAGACACCTGCCAGGGAGGGCGGGAAAGGCTGTCACATCCCTCCAAACAGTCCTATCCTGACAGCCCCGAGAGAAAATCAGGACACTTCACCAGAGCATTAATTCATTCATTCCACAAATATATGCTAAGCCCCAGGTATGTGCCAGGAGCTTCCCAGTCCACCGGGCCTGTCCTTCACCTTTGCGCCCTCCTGTCTCCTTTCTTCTTTCCCAGTCCCCATCCTGGTGGCTTGGTGCTACATCACTGTCCTCTGCCTGTCCTTATAGGTGTCTCCTTCCTGCCTTTCACCCTCTCTTCTTTCCTGATGCGATCTCTGTCCCCATCTGTCCCCTATTCCTGTCCCCGATTTGTCCTCCTCTTTCTCTATCCATATTTCCCGTTCCTCATCTTGTTTGTTTCCCATCCTTGTCCCTTCCTAGTCTTCCAATCCATGCCACCTGCCTGTTCCCACCCCTATCCTCCATCCTTGTCTCTTGTCTCTCCTTCTGCCCTGTCTTTGTCCCCTACCTGCCTCTCACCGAATTCCCTCTGTCTCCAGGTCTGCCTCCTGCCCCTCTTCTATGGGTCCCTTGTCTGCCCCTCTTACCCAGTTGGCTGTCTTCTCCTGCCGCTCCAACAGTTTCTGCTGCAGGGTCTCACCGAGGCCACCAGGGGCCCCGAACCGCTGCACAATGGCCTGGCTCTTCCTGAACTTCTCCTCAGGCACCAGGTGTCGCATGCACTGCAGGTACGTGGCCAGGGTCTGACGCAGGGGGGGCACGGGCAGTTTGGGCAGCCCCTGGAGAAGAGGGTTCATAGGCATTGTGCCTCTCGTATGTGCGCCCCATGCCTGTCCCCAGGTTGGTCCCTAGTATCTGTGTCGTTCTGCCCCTGTGTTGTTCTCTACCCTGGGGCCTGTCCATTTCTAGGGCTCAGCTCAGCAAAATTATGAATTTAGGAAGTTTTGGTTTGGTCCCTGACCTCACTGTGCTCTGTCCCCAGAAAGGGGTAAAGTGTAGAGGAAAATACGGTGATATTGGCACCAGACAGACCTGGGTTTGTACCCTGACCCTGCCACTGACCAGCTCTGCAAACTTGGGCAAGTCACCCTCCCTCTGTGCCTCAGTTTCTTCCTCTGTAGAATGGGAGTAGTAACCCCTGTCTCTCATAGGATCAAACAGATAATAGATATGAAAGGGCTTTTAAGCCACAAAGGATGGATCTAAGATGAAATAGTCCTGTTATTGATATTGTTGGCTACTGGTGACTCTTAATTTAGGATTGTTCCCAGCTGGGGCTCCAGAATCTGATTGATCTCTGGACCTGAAGGGGGCACTCTTAAGGAGAGATTTGGAAGGATAAAAGATGGTTTTGGATGAGAGACAATTCAGTGCTGCCCTAATGACTAGAATCCTACAAGAGGTTTGCTCAGAAGATGATTCATGCCCTGAGCTTCTTATAAGTCCCTCCTACTTATAAAACCCAGGCAGAGGATTTTGTTTCATGTGGGTGTTAGGGGCAGTTGGGGGGATGCAGTGAATGTCCCTCCTCTCCGAATCTCTCCAAGCCTCTGCTCCTCATCCATAGGACATAAATAATAATTCCTACCTGAGAGGAACACAGAGAGAATTAAATGGGGGAAACAACTGGCCTCGGATAGGCACATCTAAAATGTTACGACCTTGCTGTCTTATACTGCCAGAAGAATTCCCAAGTGGAAACCCATACTCTTTGGGGGCCCCAAAGTGTGGCTAGAGCCTGGGAAGAACCCCCCGACTCCGCCCTCCTATACGCATGCTGTGCTTCTCAGTTTGTCAGCAGCTTTCACCATAGAAGGCTTCTGTGTGGCTTCAATTTTGTGACTTCCCATTTATTTATGAGGAAACTGAGTCCCAGAGAGTGGAGTAGCTAGTCCAAGGTAACATACAAATCTGATGGCAGACAAGGAACTAAAATCAGTCTTCCATGTCCACTCTGCTTCTTTCTCCTGGGTCGTTCTCTCCCTTCCCTTTCACTCCCTTTTCCATTCCTTTCCTCTTCTTGTCCCTCACTTGGCCACTGGCAATAGGAAGGCAGAACTTATAATAATATTGCTTAAATTGTCCAATTTCTTCTCCTGTAAAATGGGGATAGTGAGCCCTCCCTCTCATGGGATTAAAGACCTAATGCATGTGAAAGTGCTTTTAAGCCATGAAGGATGGATCTAAGATGAAATAGTCCTGTTACTGATATTGTTGGCTGCTAGTCACTCTTAATTTATAAACTGTTCTCAGCTGGGGCTCCAGAATCTAACTGATCTCTAGACCTGAGGGGCGGGAGGCAGACCTGGAGAGATTTGGAAGGATGAAAGATGGCTTTGGATGAGAGACATAATTCAGTGCTGCCCTAATGACCAGAATTCTGCAACATGGTTCCTGGGACACGCTGGTAGACAGTGAGGCACCTTCCTTCAGGGGCTTCTCCTCTGTGCAGTGATGAGTTTCCATGAGACAGTAAAGGTTCCTCCCCGTAGGCTGCAGAGTGAAGGGGCCCCTTAAAAGCACCTCCTTCTCTGCCCCTGCTGCTGATGGATGAATGGCGGCCCTCTGCCTGTCTGATCCTGCCTCTAGGGTTCACTTCTCTGGTAGGGGTGGAGTGTCAATGCCAACTACGGGCTGCTTCTGCCCTGGGGAATGATGCGAGGACAGATCTGGGCAGCATCCCAGGCTGCCCTGCCCAACCCCAGCGAGCCAGGTCTGGGCCCCCAACCCAGCTGTTCTAGTTGTTCCATCTCTTGCGGTGGGGGGTGGTCTGTGTGATGGGTGGGTGGGCGGGTGAGCACCTACAGAAAGCCCAGCCCAGTTAATGGCCTGGCCAAAAGGGCCCACAAGTCTGGCTAGAGCCTCTACCAGACACTGCCCGCCTTCTTCTAGGCTCTGACAGTGCACTGTGACTTAGCCTGGCTAACAGGGAATCAGCAGTGGGTAAAAAGAAAGCAGGAAATCGCAGCTCAGACATCTCAGCCCCCCCCGGGATCCTCCCCAGACTCTCCCAGACTTCTAGCCCTGTACTAAGAGGGTCTTTGGACCTGGGAGTCTCAGGTAATACTCCAAAACTCCGTATTTCCTGGGCAGTTCATGTGAGTCAGATCCTGGGCTGAACTCAGAGACGATGGAGAAACAGAGCCTGCTCTTAAGGAAGCCCCAGCCCAATGGGGTGGGTGGAGAAGCATGCCAGTGGACCAGAGGTGACAATAGATGTTTGTCAGCTGCAGAGGTCAGGGCAATGGAGTGAGCAACTTCTTGGGGAGAAGCCAGAAAATTCTGTTCAGGGTTTCAAATGAGGGCTTGGGGAAGGGGGAACAGGGAAGAGGAGTGGCAAAAAGACAAGTGTGGGAAAGGGGAAACACATGCAGCAAACTGAAATCAGGTGTGTTGCTCTGCCACCCGAAGGCTGGCTGGGGTGGGAGGGAGGATGCCTGCCCAGGGATGATGGCATTGTCTCAGGCCAGTGGAGAACATAGTGCCTAAGGCTCCAAGGCTGAACTAGTGACAGCAGCTGGAGCTGGGACTTGAGGGGCTTGGAGTAGGAATTCAGCCCCACCCTAAGGCAAAATCACTGGGCTCAAAGCTATCAGAAGTGGAAGCTGGGATGAAGAGAGGCCCTGAAAGGAAAGATAGTGCCTAGCCTGGCCCAGGGATTTGGAAGTTTAGCTCTTAGCATTCCCTTGGCACCCTGAGGCCCATCTCAGCCCCTCCAGGCCCTTCTGGGATCCTCAACAAGCTGGGGGCGGGGCTGTAGCCTGGGCCTTGTGCCAGTAGAGGACAGGGCTGGGGCCAGGCAAATGCTGGGGGCCAGTCTCAGTCAGGACTGTTCTGCAAGCAAGGGCATGTGGGTGGGGAAAGCAGGGTTGAGATAGGACTCCAAAAGTCACTCACAGACTCCTCCTCACTGCTGGGAGTTTTTGCTGCCATCTTATGGGGGACCTTTTCCAGGATGGGTGTCTTGGTGAGTCCTGGTCCAGGGATGCAGAGTGTGGACCTGGGGACCAAGAAGTGAGAAGCATCAACACAGCAGCCACACAGACCTATCACAAACCCTCCACCTCCCACCAACAGACCCCTACCCCAGCTCCATGAGGAGGCCAGAGCCTGACAGCTGTATATAGGGGTCTCATTGTAGGCCTGGCCCCAGTCTCGAGTTCCAGCTGTGTGTGCTGACCACAGTGTTCTCTCTGGGCCCCCATATGGGAGACAGTGGTTCCTAATGTGAGGGTCTGCTCTCATGGGGCTGTTGCCACCCAAGGCTAGCTGACCACCCCAGGGCAATCCAAATCCACCAGGGGTTGCTGGCGGAGTGCTGGTTTTGTTCCTGCCTGGAATCCAATAGATAAGTGCTTTGCTGATCAAGCTCTCTCTTTCCCACTAGCTTCTGAAGGGTAAGACCATACCTACTGTGCTCAGGGCTTCATCTCTGGGGCCTGGCCACATCTCTGGTGTGGAGTAGGGTGAATTTCCTCAGTTGGTTGACTGAGGGAAACAAATGCATGTGTGGGTGAATGGAGGCCTTTAAGGCCCTGTGCTCCAGGATGCATCTGGGCTAATTGGGAGCCTGGCCTGTGGCCAGGGCAGGGAGACTCTGGGCCTGCTGGAGGGACTGTGACCTAGGCAGTTTTGGGTCTGCAGGCTGCCAGTGTAGATGCCATGGGAGTGCCCAGGGAGGTATGTAGAGAGGCAGGGCAACCAGGGCCCCTAGGGGTCACCAGCCTTAGTCTGGGGAGAGGCAGATTAATTTTGAAGGTGCAGTAGAAGTGAGCCAGGCCAAGAGGGCAAAGACTGTTATTATTAGGCTGTGGGTCACAATTGCTATCCTCTGAGATCCCCCTGAACCTAAGCCTCCACAGGCACATACTGATGTTTTCCACCAGCCCACACTCTATTCTCTCTCAAGTCTAAAGCTGATGTTTAGCTCATTTCCTCACCCCTCTCCCCACCCAACACCACCCCTACCCAGAGGCAAGCATGGTCCACGTATGGGCACATGGCAGGGTTGTTGCCAGGAACAGAGAGTCGAGAAAGATGGATGAACCAGGCCCAAAGATGGAGAAGCCTGGGGCTGCCTTGCAGTGCTGGGCAAAGAATGTAAAGCCCTTGCTGGCACAGTGCAGGGACACTCTCGACTGGCTGGTTCCCAGGCCTCCCAGTGCTGTGGGTTCATAGGGGCTGCCCCCAACTGCAAAGTGAAAGAGGTGGCATCCTGGTGAGCATTCACCAGAGCATGGCAGTCTTTTGAGGGGACAGCAAGGACAAGGTCAGGTTGGAAAAGGACCTGCAGACAATGCAGCCAATGCCTCCTTTTGCTCTGGCCCGGACCCTCCCACCCCCACATTTGGGAGACACTAGTCAGGCCTCAGGGACCTTGAGCTTGAAGAAGAGGGCAGAGCTGGGTGGGATGGTTTCCTGGTGGTCCCACCTGCCAGCTCCTCTTCCTGCATCACTACTGGGCGGATGCCTAGAGGGTATATGTGTGAATATGTCTGTTTGTCTGTCTGTTTTGTGCCTCCCACCCATGATCCTGCCAGCCTGGCTTTCCAAGGGCTGCCTGCTCTGCCCGGAAGGTCCAACCCCAGTCTGGCCGGTCATCACAGGCTGTCATCGGCTATGTCCTGGCTCAGACTTGCCACCAGCGGCTGATCCTTCTTCCCCACCCCCTGCTCCCCGGAGAGGCGGTTGCCAACCAGCAATTCAGGCAAGTCGGGTCAGACCCGCGGACCCTCCGACTAGACACAGAAAGTGCTTAGCAGATGCTGGGCCAAGTGAAGTGAGAACATGCGCTTGGAGTCCCGAAGCCCTGATGGTCAAGCCTCCCCAAGACCAGGCAAAGAAGCAGTGCAATCCTGCAGCTTCCCAGCTGACCCCCGACGGCCGCTGCTGCGCAGGACTCGGAGAACTCCACGAGTCCTTGGGCCTGTCGGCCCCGATGCTGTCCCTGGATAGAGCCCCCGACCGCCGCCCTTGCTCCCGGCACCGCGCTCCGCCAGCCCAGCCCAGCCCTGCTTCTCACCTGCTCTCCTCGGCTCTGCTGCCTTGGCCGCCGCTGCACCGCACCACTCAGGAGTGTGGGCGGGGGTGTGAGCCGGAAGGGGTGGGGGGCGTGTCGCAGCGCGAGGGTGGGGGCTGCCGCCTGGGTTCTGGGCAGGGCCTCCGACGTCGCCCAGGTCCCCGCGGCCACCCGACTGGAGAAAGCAAGCTGGCCGCACTTCTCTCTTTCCTCTTGTTCCTCCTCCCTCCTCTCTCTTGCATTTCCTCCCTCCCCCAAGACCCCCTTCTTCTCTCTTCTTCGCGGTCCTCAGTCCCCCATCCCTTCCCCTGCTTCCCGCCCAGGGATCTCAGCTCCTGGCCCCCAGAATCTACCTGGAGGGCTTCCTGGAGGAACTAGAGCAACAAATTTAGGCTCTAGAAGGGGTCCAGAACACTGTCCCGCCCACGACCCCTGCCCCTAGCCCACCATTCCCCAGTCACCGCACTTCCCCAACCCCATTATTCTAGCCGTGGGGTGCTGCTGCTCAGAGTCCTGGCGAGGGTTGGGTCTGGGGAAGTCTAGGCTCTCTGCCCTCCTCTCCCCACCATCCAGACCAGTCTCAAACCCTACTACACCGTCTTTCAAAATAAGAAGAAGAAACAACAACTGGGTTCAATGTTCATGCAGGACTTCCCTTTCTGTTACCATCCAATTCCTGCTGGCACTATGGGTGGGGAGCAGAGGTGGGTGCTACAGACTTGGGACAATCCTAATGGCAGACATGGGGATGCTTAAGGACTGCGGCAGGAGGCAGACTTTCCTTTCAGACCAAAGCATCCCCCACCCCAGATAGAGACCCCCACACACAAACAGCACAGACAGACTGACAAAGGCAGACTCCGCCCAGGCACACACAGCCCGACTCGCAGATCGAGGACAGACATGCGCACAACAGCAGAGCAGACCCCCACAGAGGCAGCAAACACACAGGCGACCCTGACCAGCAGCGTCTTCACGCTGGGATGGGAAGACTCTGCCTCCATCATCAGACTGCGGTCTTCGGAACAGGGAGTGTTGCGCAAACGCTGGCCTGAGGCTCTCAGGGCTGGGACTAAGGATGGGAAACTTTCCTGACAGTCCTGGGCCGCTGCTCCCACTCAGGATAGGGTGGCAGTGGGGGTTGGCACCAGGTCGCACACTCGCATCTCTCCCTTCAAGACTCAGACCCTCAGAACTGACAGGGACACAGCAAACACCGACCACGGCTTCCCAGCTCCTCCTAGGACAGAGCCTAGTTCTCTAATAAACACACACATATCACATCATACACACATTTCCAGAGGTCGGACTCTAAAAGATGGGCCGTTTTTCTTCCTCTGCTGGAATGCTCGGCTCCTACTCCTTTCTCAAAGCCTGAACGGGGCGGGGATTCTGGTCTGAAGGGAAGCTCAGCCCAGGCGCCTCAGAGTTCTGTGGATGGTTTGAGGCGTGTCCTCAAAGGGCGGGGCCTGGCGTGCCCAGCTGGAGCGGGTCCTCAGGCTACTCCCGGCGGCACCCCCGGGCTCTGCGCTGGGCCTGGAAAGGAGGATCTGTCCTGGGCCCACGGGAGCGTGGTGCTCCTTGGTGATGGTGGGTGACAGCCTTTGTTGGGTTTGCTTCCTTCCTATTCCCTTTTCCAGGTAGTAAAAGAGCTACAGGCACCTGCGTGTTAGTTTGGCTCAGGCCTGGTTTGGGACTTGGAGACGCAGTTCACCCTCCCCTCTGCTCTGGCCCTGCCCCCCACCACGCACCCCCCACCAGTAAAGAGACTTGGCCTCCTGGGACAGACACGGTTTATTGATTTGGGCGGAGGCACCGCGGTGCAGCGGCCCAAGTTTGGCACTGAGAGCAATGGAAGGAAGGACAGACAGATGCAGGGTCTACACAGGGGAGCCGCAGATGGGGACTCGGGGTCCTCATCACCTCTGCAAGGAGCGCGATGGCTTCGCTTGCCTCGGTGCTCCAAGCCCCACTGGACAAGAGAGAAAGGGATATGGAATGGGTCACAGGGAGGGGATTCGGGCAGAAGTCAAGGTTGAGGAGGGGTTGGGGTACTGGCTGGAGGAGGTGGACCCTGAGCCAGAGCTGGCCCGTGGGCTTGCAGAGCAGCCGCCTTGACCCAAGGCGGGTGGGTGGGCTGGAGGAGGAGTGGGGATGCTAGCTGCGGGTGTAGCAGTAATTGTAGTCGTCCTCGCACTCGTCAAAAGGGCCAGGCGGGCTGCGAGGCTCGCCGTCCTGGCCAGACACAGGACGCTCACGCAGTCGCACCGCATCGTACAGACCTTGCGGTGGCTCATCAAGCAGCACATCGCGCTCGGACCGGGAGCGCGTCAGGAGACCCACGTTGCGGAGCAGCAGCAAAACGGGAGCATAGAGCAGGTTGGCCAGACCCATGCCAAGGCTGAGCTGCTCAAAGCCCAGCGAGTGCACAATGTGGCCCGCCACTATGGGCCCGAGCGCGTAGGCCACAGAATAGGAGATGTCGGCGATGGCATAGACGCTGCCATACACTGAGACGTGGCGCACGTCCACCAAGAAGGCGAGCGTGGGCAGCAGTGCTGTGTCGACTAGGGCTATGCCAAAACAGAGGCCGCAGAGCGAGACCACTAGCGGCGCGAAGGAGCGGCAGGCGGGCACGATGCACGAGCTGGCGCCGATCACAGCCAGCCCTAGCGCGCCGTACAGCCACTGCAGGTGTGGGTAGCGCGCCGCCAGGCGCACAGTGAGGTAGACGCCCAGCACATGAGGCACGAAGGCCGGCAGCCAGGCCATGCCCATCTCCCACTCGGAAGCCGCCATCGTATGCTTCATCCACGTGGCAATGGTGGGCTCTAGGAAGGCGAGGGGAATATTACAGGTGGTGAGCGCACCGGCCACCACGGCAATGTAGGGGTCCAGCATGAGGCGGTGGATGGGAGTGCCCACTGGCAGGTTGGCCCGAGCCCGTGCAGCTGCCGAGAAGGGTTTGGCCACCGCCAGCAGCAACAATGCGTCAAAGAACGACACGGCAGCTAGCACCAAGAAGGGCACGCGCTTGCCGGCGAACTCGTAGAGGATGCCCCCGAAGGGCGGGGCCACCAGGCTTCCGAAGCTAATGAAGGCCAGAGCCACGCCCAGTGCACGACTGCGCTCCGGCTCCTCCGGGTACTTGTCGGCGATCATGGCTATGCCAGACGTGTCGGCGAAGGCTGAGCCTAGGCCCTGCAGGCTGCGCGCGGCGAACAGCGTGGCGTAGTCCTCGGCGAAGGCGAACATGACCGTAGAGGCGAACATGACGCCCAGGCCGATGAGCAGCGGCACGTCGTAGCTCATGCGGTCGATGAAGGGCCCGCTCAAGGGGTTCACTAGCAGCTGCAGGATGGCCTTGGAAGCAAACAGCACCCCGATCTTCACGTCTTCGCTCTCCGTAGGGTAGCGGGGTCGAAGGGCTGAGCCCGCTGGCCGCGCAGCCGTCGGGGACGCCGAGGTGTTGGCCGCGTAGGCGCTGTCATTGGCCGGAGTGGGCAGCGGCAGGGTGGGATCCCACACCTCAGGGGTCCGGGTGGGGCCCTCTCCGCCCCCGCGCATGTGGGCGATGTAGTCGGGCACGATGGGCACGATGACCATGTACAGCATGTTGTCCAGTAACAGCGCCACGCACACGATAACCAGCAGCAGGCGCCTCTGCCGCCGGGGCTCCCGCAGC